GGATGATTTAAAAATTTTTAATTGAAAACATTTAAATGAAAACATGATTTTGTGTTGTTTCCCCCGTGAAATACTGCCATCCCTTCCCACTGCTGTTTAGAAAAGTCCAGAGTCCTCACGAGGCTCTGCCTCGCCGCACCTCGGCCGCCCGCCTCACCCCGTCCGCCCCGCCGCACCCGGGCCACCCACCTCACACTGCCACTTGCCCCTTCTCCCTACGCTCCAGCCCCCTGGAGGGCTCTGGCCCAGTACCCATCCCTGACCCACCCACATCCACCCACCCTGCCTTGCTAACTCCTCCTTGTTCTTCAGGCCTCAGCTGTCCCTTCCTCAGGAACTGCTCCTCCCCCAGTCCCCTTAGGAGCCCCTTCTCCTGGTCCCTGTCCTTTTCTTTTATAGTACTTACCATAGCTGCAGTAGAAATCTCTGGGGGACGCAAATGGGTTGTGCTCAGCTGGTAACTGAAAGTTTGACAGTTCAAGCCTGCCCAGCTGCACCTCGGAAGAAAGACCTGACGATTTGCTTCATAAAAATTACAGCCAAGAAAACCCTACGGAGCGGTTCTCCTCTGTAACACGTGGGGTCGCCATGAGCCAGAATTGACAGCACACAACAGCAGCCATGGTTATCACGCAGCTCGGGGTGGTTCCTGTGAGGGTGTGGGCACCTCCGTTTGGATCGCCCACTACTGTATCTCCAGCACCCACACAGTGCCTGGCAATCCATAAATATTGTTGAACAAAAGCGTGAAAGTGTCCAATCTTAGCAGCGGGCCAAATGTAGTGTCCTGGCAAATTAAGTCTGGGCTGAGACTGGAGGGACCCTGGAAGACATGGCCCCTGGACTCTCTGTCAACCCAGAACTAAAACCATTCCCAAGGCCAACTCTTCAGACAAAGATTAGACTGGGCTATGGGACATAAAGTGATACTCATGAAGAGTGTGCTTCTTAGCTCAAGTAGATACATGAGACTAAATGGGCAGCTCCTGTCCGGAGGCGAGATGAGAAGGCAGAGAGTGTCAGGAGCTGATTGAATGGACACGGGAAATCCGGGGTGGAAAGGAGAAGCGTGCTGTCACAGTATAGGGAGAGCAATTAGGGTCACGTAACAATATATGTATAAATTTTTGTATGAGAGACTAACTTGAATTGTAAACTTTCACTTAAAGCACAACAATTAAAAAAAATGTTTTGCAGTTTCCAAAAAAAAAAAAAAAAATTCGGTCTGGGGTAACCTTAGCTCCTGAAAATCAGACCTGGGGATCCCCTAAGAATTGGTACATCTTCCAACTTCTATCAATCAACTTTACTCAATTATTCAGAGGAATAGTAATAATAATAATAACAATAACATTTATTGAAAGCTTGCTCTGGGCCAGGACCTGTGCTACACTTTGCCTGCATTATCTCATTTAATCCTGAAAACAACGCTATGCATTATGTCATCCTTATTTTACAAGTGAGGAAGCTGAGGCACAGAGAGGCTAAGTAACTTGCCCAAAGACACACAGCAAGGAAATGACTGAAGCGGAATTTTTAGCCAAGGCTTTCTGATTCCAGACTCAAACACAAATCCACTCTTCAATGCTGGAACAGAAAAGCATTGTTTTTTATGTTAAATCAAAATCGGAGACTTTTTGGATTAAAAGGAAAAATTTGAATGTCATTTAAGGAGAGGGTACTCAAGATCTCGAAGAAGATTTCCTGCCTGCCTGGCACTTGGTTTCAAGTACCCCGGAGCCTGCACCCAGTGGTGTGAGTGCCTTCCCCAGCACCCTCTCCAAGGCAGTAGGGAGGGAGCGTGAGGCTCTCCATCCTAAGAGAAGCCGGTGAGGACCACCCACAACATCTTCCAGAAGATGGGACTGCACAGAAGGGAATGGCATCCGGTTCCAGATTTTGAATGTTGGCAGGGAGTGTGAATGTGTGTGTTGGGTGTGGGGTTGGATGGGACGTAGAGTTGGCAGCTAAATGCTGTTTTCCTCCCCGAGGACAAAAACAAGCTCAGGCTCAGTCAAGAGGGCTGGAAACCCCAGCCCTTCTTAGTTCAGCCCCATCTTCATGGCTTGGCCCTCCTTAGCCACAGTCTCGGGCCAGTCTCACCCTCTCTGCCTGGGAGGAAGGGGGCCATAAATGCCCCTGTGAGAACTGCCTGGGCCTTGGAAGGAAAGAGGGGGCGAGGGGGAGGACAGAGGACTATCTTCCCGGTCCGGTCCCCCACCTCGTGGAGTGGCGGTGAGGGTGGGAGTGGGGGAGCGGGCGGGAGCCCTGAGGGATGCAGGCCTGGTTGGTCTACAGCTGCCAAGAAGGAAGTGAGGCTGAAGTCCCTTCACCCTCGCTTGTTTGGAGCTCAGAGCTCATTTTCCCACAGAAACAAAGCTCAAGTGGAGGTTGGCTTCCTGCCTGGCCCAAAGGAGCCAGATTCAGCTAATAGCATCATCCCTGTGCCCCTCCACACCCCCACCATTGTCCGTGACTGGAGGGGCTCTGGCAGCTTCTGAGACCACAGATCCTCGGGCCGCTCTGCCAAGGGCTCTGGCGGCCGTGGGAACTGCGACCTAGCTGAGGGCAGCTCTTATACAGGCGACAGCGCAGAAACAGGGTGTGTGTGCAAGTGTGTGGGAATGTGTGAGGGTGTGTGTGTCTGTAAGCGTGTGTTTATGTGTGAACGTGTGCATGTGTGTGTGAATGTGTGTCTGTGAGCGTGGGAGTGTGTGTATATGTGAACATGCATGTGTGTGTGTTCACGTGTCCGTGTGAGTGTGTGTGAGTGCATGTGTTTGTATGTGAGTGTTGGAGCGTGAATGTGTTATGTGTATGAATGTGTGTATGAGTGTTGTGTGAGTTGTGTGTTGATGCTTGAGTGTGAATGTGTGTACGAGTGTGTGAATGTATGTGCACGTCTGTGAGTGTGAGCATGTGTGTGTCAGTGAATGTGATTCTGTGTGTGTCTTTACACATATCCAAGCACAGGACATACCTAAGTCACGGAGTAAGAGAGAGTGCCCTGGATGGAGTCACCTCGGACAACTGTAAAACGTTGGTGGTAGAAGGTTTGGACTAGATCTATTTTTATTTTTAATAGTTTCCTTTTTTTTTTTTTTCCCAGACAATCTTGTATAAAAAAGATCAAATCTGCTCTGATGTAAGTGTTAGTAGGGAGCAGTGAGGAGACAGTCCCGCTGGGCTTGCCCTTCCTTACTCTGCCAGCCCGCCCGCCTGAGTTCACCTCAGAACTTAGTCTTCTCAGAGCATTGTGTGCAAATCACTGCGCTGGACCACACACGCACAGACACAGCAGACACACACACACAGACACACAGACATATACATACACAGACAGACAGACACACCCTTCCCAGTTCTAGCACTGGTAGAAACGCTGGGGTTAGGCCCATCCAGTGCCTTGCAAGCTGTGTGCCTGTCCAGCCAGAGCATCTGAGCTGTGAAGCTGGAGCTCGGCGATGAAGAAGCTTGTTTCAGTAAGTCTCTGGAGGCTGTTAATCACCCTGCCAGTGGCAGGGACAGCTGTGTCCGCAGATGTGACTGGTCAGGACTGAATTCCAGGAAGGAGGCCCAGCTCTGTGCAGGGCCCTGTCTCGCTTTCCGCTGGGCTGTCTGCAAGGTCAGGGGCCAAGGGTTTCCAGCAGGGGCAGTGGGGAGCTGAGGAGAGAAGGACAGACAGGGCAGGTCCAGGGGCGGGAGGGGTTCTGTGACAGGCAGGGGGTCTCAGCAGGTGGCCAGGGGCTCTAGAAAGCCCCCAGAGGTCCGCGCTGGGATAGCAACAGGAGTGGCCCCCCCAGCCCCGGCCCCATCCCCATGCCGGGTGAGCTGGGGACCTGCAGGGGCTACCAAGGGAACCCTGGGGACCTGCAGCGGCTGCCAAGGGAACTTTGTAAAGAACACAAAGCACTGAGGAGCAAGGGGCCCTGCCCGGAAAACTGACATCCTGGTGGCTGGGGAGAGCCTGGGCTCGGAGGGGCTATTTTTAGCTTCATGGTGGCAGGGGCAGGACTTGTATAGCCTTGCTGTCTGCTGCACAGCCTCCCCATTGTCCTGTCTGATCCTGAGCTGTGTGGGAGGCTCTGTCTGCTCCCGCCCTCCCAGGCGCGGCCGGACCTGGGCCACGGAGGACCCCGTGCGATGGGCGAGGGGCTCTGGCCTGGTTACACATTCACCCTGCGGCCTCAGAGAGCAAGGCTGCCCCTGAAACAGGCCCCGGGCACTCCAGGCTGGAGGATGGGGCTCCGGGTAGCAGAGGCCACTGGGCTTTCCCCGGAGGGGTAACAAAGGCTCTCCTGGGTGCAGGACTCGGGTTCCCCCAGCACAGAGACGCACTGTTCCTGCTGCACAGCTGGGAGCAGAGACGTGAGGCTAACTCCAGAGGACATGGGTCCCTTTTTCTAGGCCCCAGTCACACCCTGGGTGCTCTCAGGCATGTTCCTCCACAGACTGAGAAGGGGGTGAGTGTGTGTGACTGTGTGTGTGAGTGTATGAGTGTGTATGAGTGTGTGAAGCAGGAGACTCCAGGTCTCCAACTCACCCTCTCCCAGGAGTCCTGCCCTGCTCTTAAGGGTGTGATGTGTGCATTTATTCCTGGGCACAAATACCAAAAGGCGGGGCCAGAACCAGGCTGTGGCATCCAGGATGAAAATAGCTGGTGGGAACCTAGGTCATCCAAAGCAAATACTCGGGCAGCCAGGACAACGCAGGGCTGCCCCTGCAGCACCAGGAGTGGGTGAGCACCTCCCGACCCACAGGGCAGGCACTCTGCTGCAGCCCCCTCCTCTTGGACCAGGGCTCTCCCTCCCAAGAGGAATCCTGGGGTGGGGCCCGGTTCCCCAGTCGGGCCTGCCCATAAGGCCAGCTCTTGAAAGAAGAGACATCCTAGGAATTCTCAATGGGCAGAAAGAAGGACGGAAAAGGGAGTCAAGTCAGTCATTCAACAAATGTTTACTGAGCACTTACTACGTGCTAGGCCCTGTTCTAGGATCCCAGGAGGGGTGGGGATAGCCCAGACCTGTCCCGGCTGTGGCTGTCTCCCCTAAACAAGGACTGGAGGGGAACAGGGCACTCAAGGGGCCTGGGAGCCTCCTCCCTGAGAGGTGGAAGGCCCCAGGTGGACGCAAGATGAGGGCCTCTAGAGATAAAGCTGTGGGGGAGGTGACTGTACGGCTGGTGCCTTCCCTGGGGTGAGACTGGGCCCAGAGAAGGAAGCTTCCAGAGCTGAGACCGCTGGGAAGGCCCCTGCCTGGCTCCCTGCATCACCTCCTCTTCAGCACGGATATGCAGGACTTCTTGAGGGGCCCAATCTGCAGATGGGCATCCACGCTCTCCAGGAAGAAGGCGGGCTTGAGCCTGCGGGTGAAGAGCCCTGCAAAGTGGCTGTCCAGGCGGCTCTGGAAGGGGTCGATGGGCAAGGCTGGGGTGCCACTCCGGCGGGGCCTGGAGGCCTTCAACCTCCGCAGAAGGTTCATCTTGCCATCCCGCACGGCATAGAAGGCCAGGGCACGGTTGGCGTATTCCAGGCAGATCCCCACGGTGGGCGAGAAGGGCTGCGGCAGGGGCGCCTCCAGCCCATGGAACCAGATGGAGAAGCTTCGGCCGTTCCACTGTAGGCAGCAGGAGTGGGCATTGCGGCCCAGCCGGCCCCGGTCGTAGGGCTCTTGTGGGGAGAAGTCTTCGGCCATGACCCCCATGCTGACCCAGCCGTCGATGATCTCCACCTCCCAGTAGTAGGTGCCTCGGTCCAGGGCGCCATCGCCCAACACCTGCTCGCAGTGGGTGAAGCGGGTAGGCGACTCGGGGTAGTTGATGGGGCATAATACCCTCTTTACCCCTTTGGTTCCAAACAGCTGCAGGAATTTATCTGCTGTGTCACTGTCCAAGTCCACGACGTAGGCAACTACCCCACAGGCAGGAGAGAGAGGCAAGGCTCAGAGCCAGGCTCGGACGGGACACCCACCCCCATGTGCCCACTTCCCCAAAACTCAGGCCTGTTGCTGCCTTTGCAACAAGTACAACTCAGCCTCACTGGAGGCCACCCCGGGAGCCGACCTCCTTCACCTGTGAACTAGGGAGGGGAATCCAAGCCCCCCTGTGCCAGGGTCCTGCCTGGGCCTGCTTCTGGGACTGGCCAATGGGAGAGCCTGGCATCCACTTACACTTGAGGAAGTAATCCCGGGAAGCTTCACTCTCCGTGTGGTCCGTGCTGTCGGGGTCCTGGGAGTCAGCCTCAGCTGCAGAAGAGGGGACAGTGAGGGGCTTTTCTACAGGCTGCCCAAGATGCTCCAGCTGAGGAACCGGGCTGGGCCGCTGGGCCAGGTCCCCCCCAAACCAGTGACTGCAATCTCTTCTCCTCCCCCTTCCTCCCAGGGTCCTGAGCCTCTGGGGACAGGTAAACACCCAGATATGGCACCCGGGTCCATGTGCATCCCTAGTCCCTGGCTTCTGCCTCTTGCTCTATTTGCTCCTCAGTCCCCTCTGGAGCTAGGGGGTAGGCTAGGAGAAGCCCCCCTTCCCCCTAGGCTGTGGCAAAGGGGCTGGCTTGTCATCATGGGTGGTGACTGCAGGCACTGTTGGGGTTTGGGCCCCACCCCATGCCAGGCACAGTTTCTACTGTCTCCTCCTGGATGGGCCTGGGCAGGAAGCCTGGGGGAGGGTGAGTCACCTCGGTGAGGGGAACACCCACCTTCCAACCCCAGCTTCTGCAGGCCGTCCTCGTCACTGCCCAGCCCCCGCAGCTGCTCCCACTGGCTGGTGCAGGCAGCGGCCAGCAGCTCTCTTACTGCCTGGACGGCCTGAGACGACTTGGTGAAGCTGAGCTCCCTCGGGGGGCCGGGACCAGGACTGCACCCCTCCTCCAGGGCCAACCGTAGTGCCAGGAGCTCCTGTACCAGATAAATGCTAGCTAAGGCTCCGCTGGCCACACTCGGCCTGGCCAGGGGGCAGCTTTGCCAGGATGCCCACGGCCCTTTGTCCCTCCACCCTGCTTGCCCTCATCAGCCCCTGTGTCCCTCTCTGGCCCGCAGAGCTGCCCCTTACCTTCAGGAAGCCGACCGAGTCAGCCTCAGGGACCTGGCTGAGGTTGTGGCGGGCTCGGCTCAGCCGGCTGCGCTGTTCCTCCTGCCGTCGCAGGTCATCCTGGGAGCGGCCCAGCATGGTAGCCTCCCCCTCCTCAATGAAGCCCAGCACCTCGGCCTGGAACCTCTGCAGGGTGGCCTCAGCCTCGGCAAACAGCTGGCTCACCCTCTCCCGCTCTGCCACAGCTGCACTCTGCACAGGACGGCATGAGGACAGGGAGGGATGAGGGCTTTGGCTCCATCTCTCCCTGACCCCACCCTGCCCATTCCTCTTGGAGGTCCACAGGGAGCAGCCTGAACCTGCCCAGGTCTGTGCCAGGTCAGGGAGACACTCCTGCCCAGTGGTTTGCCCGGAGTGGATCATTCCATCCTGAGCGCTCTCCCTGTTAAGACCCTGCTGCAGGAGTGGGAGGGGGGCTCTGACCTTGATGAGTGCCACGGTGCGCCGGGACTGGGCAATGCCAGCACCCAGCTCATCCATGCGGTCCTCCACGGTGCTCAGGACTTTGGGCTGCTCAGCCTGTGGATGACACCCCCGTGAGGACAGGGTCTGGCAGAGGCCACAGCCCAGCAGCAGGGGCCCTGCCAGGGGAGATGAAAGGGGTGACCTGGAGTGACTTAGTGCATTGGTGGGACTGGGAGTGGCCACCATGTCCCATAATGCCTGCAGCAGCTCCAGGCAGATGGAGCAGAGGTGCCTCTAGCCCAGGCTGCTGCTGTTCCCAAATGCCCACTGCTGGGCACAGGCTGGTAGTGGGCTGTCTGCCCCCATCTCTGACCAGTGGGGCAAGTTCAGGGCCATCGGTGGGCTCCTATCGATGGGAGGCTCAAGTTCATTTGAGAACTTCCTCCAGTGAGGAAGAGGCAGAGGTGAGGGAAGGCTGGAGGGGACGGCATCTGTGGGCACTCAGCTGTCCTGGGGATCACTGTCCCCTAGGGGGTCTAGGTCCACCATGTAGACCTGAAAACAGGGGATTCCGGGCAAATCCCTTGGGTCTTATGAGTCACAGCTCCAGGCAGGAGAGACGGAAAATCCCAAGGCCAGAAGCGCCAAGTCCAGGCTGGAGGCCAAAGGAAACTGGGGGCGGAGGTAGCGGGACAGGCTGAGCACATGCTCCCCACCACGGGCCCCCGGAACAGCTGGACAGAGAGGATCTGTGTGCCCTGCTGCCGGCGGCGCCCGTTGCCTGCCACACCCATCCAACCCCGCTGCTTCAGCCCAGGGCAAATCTGAGATGGGACGGTGAGCCGAAGCATCCGCGCGGAACCAGGTGCCAAGAACCCCGCAGGCCTAACCCTGCTCCTTTCCTGGCTTAGGCCCCATCGGCCCGTCTCCGGTACCCTGCCCGCCCTTCGAGTCCCTCTGGCTTTCTCACTAGGTCCCTACCTTCCCCATTCCCATCTCCACAGCCGTGAGCTGATGACATTGTCAAAGTTGGAAGCGAACGGAAAGATCCTCACTATTTAGAGGAGGAAAGTAAGACCCGAGGCGGGAAAGGGCAGGGAGTCCCAGGCTCTCGGCTGGCTGCCCTCCTCCCTCCCTGGTCCACTCCGGGTCCCCGCCGGGCCGCCCAAGTTGCTTGCGCCCACCTCCTGGAGAGCGCGCTCCTGCTCCAGCGGCACTAGCTCGTGGCCGCGGTGCTCCTGGCCGGCGCAGGCCTCGCACAGGCACACGCGCTCTGCGCGGCAGTAGCGCTCGAGCGGCCGCAGGTGGCGTGCGCACAGGCTTTCCTCGAGCCGGCGCAGCGGCGGCACAAGGCGGTGTCCGCGCAGCGCGGGGCTGCGCTCGTGTGGGCCCAGGTGCGCGGGGCAGAAAGAGGCGAGGCAGGAGAGGCAGGAGAACGCGGCCGGCAGGGCGGCGCCCTCAGGGCACGCGTCGCAGGGCACCAGCTCTTCAGTTGCCGGCCACGACTCGGGGACACAGGGAGCCGACGGCTCCTGGGCGTTGGGCGGCGCGCTCGGCGCCGAGGGCTCAGGGGCCGGGCCGGGAGCCGGGGCCTTGCGGGGGCCCGAGCCCTGGCGGAGCTGCAGCAGCTCGGCCAGCGTGTGGTTCTTGCGGAGCTGCAGGCCGTCGGGGAAGAGCTCCTGGCACAGAGGGCAGCGCGCAGTGCCCCCGGGCCCTCCGGCGCCGCCCGCGCCGCGGTGCGGCCAGAGCGCACCCAGGCAGGCCAGGCAGAAGTTGTGGCCGCAGGGCAGCGTCACTGGCTCCCGGAGCAGCTCCAGGCAGATGGGGCAACTGAAGGGCCCGCTGCAGTCCATGGCTCCGCGGCCGGCACCGCCTGTTCTGCTCCTGCCTGGGAGGGACCCCGCCTGCTCGCGTCCGGCACCGCCCCCCGGGGCTGAAGGCCAAGGGTCCGGCCCCTTCTGCCTGGCTCGGACCGTCCCCCAGCGCTGCCCGCCGCGGACACACCCAGCCCAGCACAAACTGCGCGGCCGCCCTCTCCGCAGGGAGCTCCGCCGGCTCCGGGCTGCTGGGCGCCAGCCCTCCTGGGTGCTGCTGAAAGGCGTCTGCGGGAGGGGATGGCAGGGAATGCGACGGAGACACCCTAGAAGGAACTGGAAGGAGTTCACCCCTCCATTCGCCCGCACCACCTCTCCATCCTTGGCCAGGCTCTAGGCTCGGGAGGCGCTGGGCGGGCCTTCGCGCTCCAGACCCCTCCCCGTCCATCCGTTAGCACAGTTCCGGAGCTGCTGACTGCCGAGAAAAAGAACTGCTGATGGGCGTGTGTTTTTGCCCCTTAGCGACTCTATTTAGCCACAGTGCGGTATTCAGGGCTTTTCTAGACCTAAAATGGGAAGTTAACGTCATTCTCTAAGTCGCTCTGACTGAGGAATTCAGTCCCGCTCAGTGGAACTTATCTATTTTTTCTCACGGTCACCTCCGGGGTGTCTGAGGCTGTGGTTCCCCAAATGCAGGCATGTGTTACAACGCATCCATCTGTGCACTTTAAAGGGTGCATTGTATGTAGATCATGTTTCAATAATGTTGCTTAAAAAAACAGAATGGTAACAAATAAGGTAGCATTAGATTATAACCCAAGATATAAAATAAATATCCATGAGTCCACACTGGTGGAAATAAATTATGGAATAAATAAATAAATAGGGGAGAATAGACAAATTTTCCCATTCAGAAGAATTCCAAATAACTTTTGTAGCTACTCTGAGGTGGAGCACAGCTTCCCACTCCTTACGTGTGGGCTGCGTAGTGGCTTCCTTCCAGATAGCACAGGATGTAAGAGGGGGAAGGAGTAACTTTATGTGGAGAGACCTGACAAACAGGACCTCAGCCAGGTGGTCAAGGTCAACATCAACAGTGATGTCATGTTGATGGTATGCACCCTTGATATGGTAGGATGAAAATGGCACTCTGTCTCTGTGGGTTCCTTCCAAAAATCCATAGCCCCAGTCTAATCATGAGAAAAACTCAGACAAATCCCAAGTCAGGGACAACCTATAAAATACTTTATCAGCACTCCTCAAAACTGTCAAGGTCATCAAACAAGGAAAGTCTGAGAAACTGTCACAGTCAAGAGAAGCCTAAGGAGACAGGACAATTAAACATAATGTGGTGTCCTGAGTGGGATCCTGGAACAGAAAAAGGATGTTAGGGAAAAACTAAGGAAATACGAGTGAAGTATGAATAAAGTAAGGAATGTATCAATATTGGTTCTTTAGGTCTGACAAATGCATGAACATTTTTTGCAAGTTTTTGTGTGGACAAATGTTTTCAACCGTCTTGGGTATATACCTAGGAGTGGAATTGCTGGGTCATATGATGACTCTGTTTACCGTTTGAGGAATTGCCAGACCGTTTTCCAAAGTGCTGCGCCATTTTACAGTCCCACCAGCAGTGTATGAGGGTTCCCACTTCTCTACATTCTCACCAACACTTGTTATTTTCCATTTTCTCATAATAGCCATCTAGAGGGTGAAGTGGTTTCTCATTGTGGTTTTGGTTTACATCTCTCTGAAGACTAATGGTGTTAAGTATCCTTTCATGTACTTACTATCTGTGTATCTTCTTTGGAGAAATGTTCATTCAGATCCTTTTAAAAAAATTTTTTTTTATTGTACTTTAGGTGAAGGTTTACAGAACAAATATTTTCTCATTGAACAGTCAGTACACATTTTGTTTTATGACATTGGTTCACAACCCCATGACATGTCCACATGCTCCCTTCCTGGCCTTGGAGGACTTTTTTCTTTTTGGTGAAAACATACATAGCCAAAGATACACAATTTCAAAAATTTCTACATGTACAATTCAGTTACGTCGATTATGTTCTTCCAGTTGTGCTGCTATTCTCACTTTAGATGAAGGTTTACAGAACAAAATAGTTTCCTTGACCATTTTTTAATTGGTTTATTTGCTTTTTATTCTTGAGTTGCAAGAGCTGTTTATATACTCGAGATACAAGTCCCTTGTCAGACATATGATTTTAAGAACTTTTTAAAAAATTGTGTTTTCACTTACTTTCTTTTCTTTTTTAAATTTCTTCATGTTTTAGGTGAAAGTTTACAGCACAAATTAGTTTTTCATTCAAAATTTATACACAAATTGTTTTGCGACATTGGTTGTAATCCTCAAAATGTGTCAGCACTCACCCCCTTTCCCTTTCCACCCTGGGTTCTGTGTCCATTTATCAGTTTTCCTGTTCTTTCCTGCCTTCTTGTCCTTGCTTTTGGTCAGGTGTTGCCCATTTGATCTCGTTCACTTTCTTGAACAAAGTTTTTAAATTTGATAATATCCAATTTACCTCTTTTTTTTCTTTTGTTGCTTGAGCTTTGGGTGTTCTCGCCCTAGTTTTGGGGCCCGCTAACTCTTTGCCTGCCCCCGGAGAGCAGGAGTCACCAATCCAAACACCTTATTCCACATGAGGCAACAAAGCCCTGCTCTTTTCCAGGGAAACAGTAATTACAGTGCTATTATGTTGTCATTTATATAGTATAAAAGTGACATTTCTAGACAGCAGAGACCACCTGCCTCCTTCACCTCCATGAGCTGTTGAGCAGAAGAAAGAATGCACCTTTTTAGAGACAAACCTGGGTTCTGTTGCCTGCTCTACCACCTTACAGCTGTGTGACCCCAGGGATGGTTACTTAACCTCTCTGAGCTTGGTTTCTGTCTTAGGCTGAGTTCTCTAGAGAAGCAAAAACCAATAAGCATATAAACATATATATATATATATATATATATAGAGAGAGAGAGAGATTTATATCAAGGAAACGGCTCATGCGATTGTAGAGCCTGGAAGGTCCCAAATCCGTGGATCAGGATAGAAGCTTCTCCTGATTCACGTAGCCTCAGGGGCTGGTGAACCCAAGATGGGTAGGTCAGAGAGCAGGGCTCTTGCTCACAGACTATGAAGATTGATGAATCCCAAGATTGGCAGGCAAGACCACAAGGCTTCTCCTTATTCATGTAGCTGCAGGGGTTGGCAAGCCTAACATCAGCAGGTTGGTGAGCAGAGCTCCCGCTCACAGGCTGTGATGATTGACGAATCCCAAGATTGGCAGATAAGCTGGTGGCTCAAGTCCCAAGAACCAGAGGTCAGATGAACAGGAGGCAGCTGCAGGATCCAGAGCGAGCAAAATGCCAGAACGTCTGCTTATAGGGATGCAGGCCACACGCCCAAGGAAACTCCCTTTCAACTGATTGGCTACTCATAGCAGATCATCTCATGGGAGTGGTCACATATAACACTGAGAATCATGGCCCAGCCAAGTTGACACACAACCTTTTTTTTTTTTAAGCTTTTTTATTGTACTTTAGATGAAGGTTTACAAAACAAATGGTTTCTCATTAAACAGTTAGTACACATAATGTTTTATGACAATGGTTAACAACCCCACGACATGTCAACACTGTCCCTTCTCAACCTTAGGTTCCCTATTACCAGCTTTCCTGTCCCCTCCTGCCTTCTAGTCCTTGTGTCTGGACTATTGTGCCCCATTAGTCTCATTCTGTTTTATGGGGCTGTCTAATCTTAGGCTGAACAGTGAACCTCGGGAGTGACTTCATTACTGAGCTAAAAGGGTATCCAGGGACCATACTCGGGGGGTTTCTCCAGTCTCTGTCAGGCCAGTGAGTCTGGTCTTTTTTGTGAGTTAGAATTTTGTTCTACATTTTTCTCCAGCTCTGTCCGGAGCCCTCTGTTGTGATCCTGGTCAGAGCAGTCAGTGATGGTAGCCGGGCACCCTCTAGTTGTACTGGACTCAGTCTGGTGGAGGCCGTGGTAGTTGTGGTCCATTAGTCCTTTGGACTAATCTTTTCCTTGTATCTTGTTTTCTTCATTCTCCCTTGCTGTCGAAGGGGTGAGACCAGTGGAGTATCTTAGATGGCTGCTCACAGGCTTTTAAGACCTCAGATGCCACCCACCAAGGTAGAATGCAGAACATTTTCTTTATAAAGTGTGTTATGCCAATTGAGCTAGATGTTCCCCGAGACCATGGTCCCCACAGCCCTCCACCCAGCAATTCAGTCCCTCAGGGAGTTTGGATGTGTCTATGGAGCTTCTATAACCTTTCCTTGTACAAGTTGTGCTGGCTTCCCCAGTATGTGACACAGTCTCAACCATCACAGTCTCCTTGACTGCACAATTAGGATATGACTATACTTGCCTTATAGGATTGTTGTAAGGATTAGGTGCGATAACACCTGTAAATCCTTTAGCACAGAGTTTCTCAGCCTAGGCACTATTGACATTTGGGCTGAATAATTTTCTGTTGTGGGGGGATGTTCTGGGCATTGCAGGAGGTTTAGCAGTGTCTCTGGCCACAACCCACTAGATGCCAGTAGCATCCTCTCTGTCATGACAGTCAACCTTGTCTGCAGACATTGCCAAATGTCCCCTGGGGGGCAAAATTGCCCCCGTTCAGAACAGCTGTTTTAGCACAAGCCCTGGCCAGTGGCAGGTTATCCCCCTCATTAATACAAGGCAGCTATTGTTACTCCAGTTGCCATCGACTGGACTGTAACTCATGACAACCCCATGCGCGTCAGAGTAGAAATGTACTCCATAGGGTTTTTAATGGCTGATTGGAAATACACCCACTCCTCACTTATCGACATGGTTAGGTTCCAAAGACCAGGTCATTATGTAAAAATGGAGGATGATCACATCAGATCACAAAGTATTATGTGGGACACATTGTCCCTCTGGACTCGAGAGGTGCAAAATGTAGGTGGGTGCTGTCTGTCCCACTGGTCATGAAAGGGTCATTGCCAGACATACATCGTTAATGCACAAAATAGTTGGATAGTAGATTCTTTACTATTGTCGTAAATGTGAAATGTTGGATAATGAGATAGATGATAAGTGAGGAGTAGGTGTAGATAGCCAAGCCTGTCTTCCGAGCCACCTCTGGGTAGACTCGAATCTCCAACCTTTCCATCAGCAGCCAAGCACATTAACTGTTTGCATCACTGGAGGACTCTACTTTCCATAAATCAGCTACTGAAAACCTTATGGAGCACAGTTTCTACTCTGACACACATGGGGTCTCCATAAGTCAGAATTGACTGGATG